GTACAGTCGACCCCCCTATAAGATATAGATACGTTCCAATTTATTAGGAATCCGATTTCTTACAAGTCGTTCCAATCACAGCCCCACACGTGTCAAGTTTACGGACTACGGCTGATTGAAAGGTTTTCTTCCATAAAATTCATCGATTCTAGACTAATCCAACTCAACATTTCCAAAATACGTATATTTTTTTGGAAATAATCCGTATAAACTACGCTATAAACAAAAAATTGTAGGATTGCTTACCGAGTGTGCACCATTCGACATCGCCATTGCTCAAGTCGTTTTTGTTGCACAACAACTCAGCAAACCGCGGCAGAGATTTCTGATGTTATTTTTCTGCGAAAACTTCGCTGAACTTTGGAGACATCATTAATAAAAATAATTTTTATCGCCGTTGAATAAGAAATGTTTCTTTCACAAAAAATGTATAAAATTACAGTACTGTATTAGAATTACGGTACCTAATTTACATACTGTACAGACGATAGTTCGCCTGAACTCTTCGTATCGTAGCGCCAGGCGGCGGAAAAAATATATATAATTATAATAAAGTTACAATAAATTAAGTTAATATATAATTATATATACAGTACCTAATTTATATATAATACTGTACAGACGATAGCAAACTCAATTTAGCTGCTCTGTAGCGTGGTGCAGGGCGGAGGAAAGTAGTTTGGCTGCTCATCCACTATTGGTCCAGATTCTATCAATCTTGTCACAACACGAGTCGGCAGCGACATTTTAGGAGTTCCTTTATACGAATATTGCTACAATTTTTTCGCTACGTTATAGGAACCCACGTTATAGGGGGGTCGACTGTATACAAGAAAGACATCAGCTGTACACAAGGTGTTTAGTCAGAAGAAAAGAGGGTGAGGGGAAGGAGGAGGGAGCAGANTGTTTCTTTCACGAAATGTATAAAATTACAGTACTGTATTAGACTTACGGTACCTAATTTACATACTGTACAGACGATAGTTCGCCTAAATTCTCTGTAGCGTGGCGCCAGGCGGCGGAAAGAATATATATAATTATAATAAAGTTACAATAAATTAAGTTAATATATAATTATATATACAGTACCTAATTTATATATAATTATATGTATAGACGATACTAAACTCAATTTACCCGCCTAAACTGTCCGTAGCGTGGCGCTGGACGGCGGAAAGTAGTTCGGCTGCCCGATGACGTTTTACGTAATTATAGGAGTTTTTTACCGTTGTTTACGGATACCGCCACAATTTTTTCGCCGTCTTATAGGAATCGTAATTATAGGTACCCGTCTTATAGGGGGATCTACTGTACTGTACGTGACATTTGTGAGGTTTCGGAGTCCGAACCTCTCGTTATACGGGCTAAAAATATATTTTAGGAAATCTGATACAAAGCAATGCGAACGTAAACAATGTAAGTCCCGAATGCGACTCGAATACACGTGTTAGTATCTAAATCTGTGTCAGACCTGAGAGTTTGAACTTTGACTCTGACGCTCATAAAAATGACTGAATTTCTTCTTCAAAAAACTGAAATTCTTCTTCGCCCTTAATCTAGCAACTAAAATTTTTTCCACGTGGTCATAAAATTAATTTTGTTGTACTGTACTGTACGTCATAAAGGAAAAAGACGACGTTTTCTGTTTACGGTTTTATTAATTGTAAATGATATTTTATATAATTATGATATTTATTTGCTATAATATTTCAGAATAAATGTTTAAATTCCTGCAAATATCAAAATAGTAAAAAAAAAAATATATCACTTATGGTAGCTGCTATTTCGTTGTGAATGTGTCTCTTTAATCCGATCAATTCAGTTCGGTAGACTATCAATACAGCTTTCAGGTTAGATACTTCTTTTATTGTTTTGACATATGCATTTCGGACTTATATGTATTTTAAGTCCCTCTTCAGTTCAAAACTACAAATTATTTAAAAAATATACAATTAGTAAGATGACAAATTCTTCGCGTGTAGATCATATTTACTGACATAAAACTATTGTATTAAAAATTGTTACACTTATACGTTACCTAAGGTTCTGTCTTTTAAAAACCACGGTGTATAACGGGTAACGTTGGAAAGAGTTTAAAATACAGCCATTTAAAAACACTTCAAATACATTTTCACATTAATACGGTAAACCTAATATATCAATATATTTATAATTTTTACTTTATAACATTATATATTTTAACAGAAACAATATAACATGATACTCACTTTTAACAAGTGTTCATAAAATCTTGTATAATTACAACTTTTAAAGAATGTGTATGTTCTACAATATA